GCAATTAATATATAAAATTCCAAATTTATATTATTTTTTTTTTCAGATCACACAATGGCTGAAGGGAAAAGAAAATCTTCAGACAATAATAATATTCAAGATTGGATTAAGGAGCTCTTGCCTGATTTTGCTCCTCATCATATGGGGTAATTAATTAAAATTTAAATTAATTCATATTAATTCAAATTAATTAGGAATTGTTGCATGGATAAATTTATTTATTTATTTATTTCGTTTTAATTTTCTCTGTCATGATCTTCATCTTCTTCCTTTCTCACTCTTTTTTTTCTTTTTTTAAATTATTATCATTATTTTATTGCATGGCAAGAAAATTGTTTCAAGGGTTTTGACGAGACTATTGTGAATTGTTTTTTTATTATTAATTGTATTTAAATATTAAATTGTATTTAATTTATTTAATTGATGAAAACGATGTAATCTGCGACCTAGGGTTTTGGAGAATCATTGAAGGTTTTTAATTAATTAATTCATTCATTCTTTTTTTTTTTTAATTTATGATTTGGTTTTTTGGTTTTTATTTAATTATCCCACGGGGAATATCGGATTAAACTGATGATTTTAATTTTAATTTTTTTTTAATCTATACAAGTTGATGAACATATTCTTGATTAGGGTTGATTAATTACATTATTATTATTATTATCTTGACCGTTTTTTATTTGGATAATTAATTAATTAATTGACAATTAAATTTTGGATTTTTAATTTCTGCAGAATAAGTGGAGTTACTAATTTGCCGTTTTCTGGTTTGAGTAATTACAATCAACAAAATCCAGCCATGGCTGCAGTTACAGTAAGTGTTCTTCAGTACTATTTCAGAATTATTTCAACTTTTGTTTAAAAATTTTGTTGTGATATCACATATTTTATTTATGAGTTGAATATTTATTAATTACTATGTCGAAAATAGCAATGTTCGGGTTCGAATCACTTTCGAACTGTCTTGGCTATCGTTCGGATTTGCATAAACTTGTTTCGTTTTAGCGCAAGTTTGATTTTTTTTTTCTTTTTTCGAATGGTGAAAAGAGCATATAACTGCTTATTCGTTCATTATAAGCGCTCGTCTTAATTTATACGCGCAAAAGTTTCGCGTTTCTTTAATTCGTATGCGCAAATGTTGCGAATTAACATACTAATCGGATGATTTTTGCTCTTGAATTTCCAGTTGCAGTCGAATAATAATAGTAATAACAATAATCCCAGCTTGTGGCAGCATCCACAATCAGGTAACAACGAGAACAACTTTCTCATTTATCGACATGCGCAAATGGATTATTGGAATAAACATACTTATCGATTCTAATTATGTTTCAGTTGTTTAGGAAAAAAAGTGATTAACGAACTTAACGATATTATTATGTCTTGTGGGGTAATTTACACAGTTATCCTCAGTAATCCAATCAATCATAGAACCGAAGGCCCTTCAATGTTTCGTCGAGACTTCTCTCAGCCGAACCAAACTTCGAACATGGGCTTGAACTTAAATCGGTCGCAGTTACAAGTTTTGCCCACTCGACCAAATATCTATCAATTTTCAGCGCAACCCGGTTCATATTCGATCGACTTTAGTCAACATCAGCAAGTGCAGGTACTATTTAACACTTTAGGCGCCAAAATGGATAAAAAAAAGAACATTGAGAATTTTAGTTGAATGCTATTGAATATGCCGACTTAAATAACAGGCATCTACTGGATTCCCTTCGACAAATCTCATGGGAACATATCATGAGAATTTTAACATTCTTCAGAGTTCGGACCAACCTTTAATGATGAGAAGTTTGGGAAGGCCGAATGGTTTGATGATGTCTGAACGTGCTCGTCCGGAGTTATTACACGTGTCGGCTTTTCAAAGGCCACAAACGCCGGGTCTTTGTGCTTTACAAGGTAATTTGAAGAACTTTTTTTGTGTATTTTCATGCTAAACTCTGTTTGGGCTTTCGCTTGGAGCCTTGGATGCAGGGGAAAAGTAATCTTTACGATGAATTGATACAGTTTAATTCTGATATATATGGTCTTTTTCTAATTCGACATTTTGCCGTCCGAAAACAATATATCAGAACCCGTTCTTCAACCGGAGCTTGTGATGAATCCCATCATTGACTGGATAGATGAAGCATATCACAAGGCAAATTTTCTTTTCCTCGTTTATTAAAAAAACCGACCGGCTCTTAGAAATCCCATTTGACTTCACTAACTAACTCTAATTTCTTCCTCTAACAGATTCTGCAGATGAAGAATTCGTTTTTGGCTGATGTTCTTGAACTGTATAAAAGATCACAGAATGGGAAAAATTCGGTAGGTTTATCATTAGTAAGCTTCATAATGAATTCACAAACCCATTTTCTCCTTTTTTTTCCTTGTTTGTAATTTTTTCGAGCCACACGATGCAGACGAACAATGCAGAAAATATAGCTTCGTGCGAAAAGGTCATAATATCAACCAAGAGGATATTCAGTTTCCTTCACATGTCACGGTCTGATATTTCCCGCTGGCAAAAGGATAAGTTCTGCCGTATGATGAAAGACGTAATAAATTACATGAACCAGGCCCGGTTATCAAACTCCTTCCCTCAGAACCAGAATCAACGAGCTCCGATCAATGGTTTCAACCAGACGAGTCCATCTGGGCCGTCCAATCAGCCCGTATTCGATCAGAGGGCCCACAGCATTATTCTCAGCCCGACACAGCCCAATAACAGCGGAGTTCTCGGCCGATCGGATTCTGCTACACCCATTTCCCCTGCTCCGGAGAAAAAACAGCTAAACGAACCAGCAGTTGTTAAGAGGCTCAAAAGCACGCAAAATTCTCCTAGATTTAGTCAGAGATCGTCTCGAGTGTCTTGTGGTAGTGCTTCGGCTCTGAAGTCGCAGAAATCGAGCTTGCCAGCTTCACCATTGTCATCTTTTTCTTCTAAGCTTTCTAAACCTGCTGCGGTTTCACCAGTCTCTGGTTCATCCTCGCCAGCTTTGCTTTCTCCTTTGACTCCTTTGACTCCTTTGACTCCGAACTTGAAGCCGGTGGATTTCGCTAAGAGCCCTTTGTCAGTTGATGATAGCTGCAAAATTTCTGCAAATTCGGGAGATCGGCCATTGATAGAAGAAAAAGCAAGCAGAAAGGTAATTTCCACGGACGAGAAGTTTTCGGAGAAGTCTGGTGCGAATAATACTGAGTTGGCTGAGAAAAAGCGTCCGCGGGATGAAGAAGAAGATGGAAATCCGGTAAAGCGCCTGGTTGATGCGGTTAGTTCAAATTTTTTTTAAAATTTTTTTTTCTCATTTTTATATTCTTTGTAACAAATTTCAGCCTGAATTAGAATAATTGAGTTGTCGAAAATTATGTGAACAATTGAGTTTTCGAAAATTTGAATTTATCGTTTGCTCCTTGCCTGATACGCGTTTCGGTTTCATCTTGAAGGTGACATCTGTTTCACACAGAGCTTTGAATTCTGCCATACAGGATATGAATGTTATCGCAAGCTTAACTGATAGGATAGCCGAGAGTTTTCTCCATGGTGATTCGATTTCTACCCGAATCTTGGCTGATGATATTAGATATTCTGAAATGCAGACGATGGAGAAGGATCAATTCGAAACTACAACTTGCCAGGAAATGATTACTGAAACGGGATTTTGTAACACGAACAATGTTGAGAAAAGACTGAAGAAAGAGGTAATACTGTAATTAAGTTGCATTCAATGGATGTCTTGCTGTAATTCGACACAAAATTTAAAAAAGAGGTATTTTCTTGTTTTATGCGTAATATGTTTGCAGGCTAGTGATGAGCTGTTTGAAGAGATTCAGACAATCAATCAGAGGTTTATGGAAGTGAAAGTTGATATAATGAACATTGATGAAGTTTCAAGGACCGGATTTGATGAATGTGCTCTCGTTCGCTGCTCGTATGTTCCCATAGGACCTGCTTCCCAACAGATGGTAATGTTCGTACGAATCTTTTTTAACTATTGTCGTAATTTATTCTAGAGGTTGTATTTTTCACAGATTTTGATACTTTTTCCTTCAAACAGATTCATAAACTGAACCTGGAATTGATCGTGCCTCCCGATTATCCCAGTTTCTCTCCTACTGTGACCGATAAAATGCCTTCCGATTGCGGGTAAGAAAAACTATAAACGATGCACATTTCTTTTCGGTAATATAGTTTACGGTGAAACTCATCGAATGTAAAACCGAATCCTAATGTTGTGTGCAGTGACTCTGAGGAAGGTAAAAGTCTGTGGAGAAAGGCAAAATCGAACTTGGGTTTAAGACTCAGACCATTTTCTCAGCCCATATCGGTCAAACAAATTGCTCGAGCCTGGGAAATTAGTGCTCGAGAAGTGTTTCTCGAGTATGCGGTGCAAATGGGAGGGGGTAGCTTCAGTTCAAGATATGGTGAATGGTATTAGTTCTAGGTGAAACTATATAGTCTCCCATGATCTCTGTAAAAAATTCCTCTGAGTAGAGTTTTACTGTTATAACTTGAGAAATTTTCATTCTGCTTGAGATGGATTGGATAGGAGAAGAAAATGTGACAAAATTGTGCAAAAGTTTCCTTCACAAATCCTGCAAAGTACTCTTTATGTTAATAAATTGATGTATTATTTTGGTCCTAAAAATTGTTTATCTTTCTTTATAGTTCAACAATTTTCTTGCTTCTTCTCTGTGTGACCGTACATTATCGACAAACAATCGTACACAGATTCAGCTCGGGCGCACGTTTTATAATCACCCGCTAAGAACGACTCGATTCTCTCATCCACCTCAATCCAGCTACATCCCGGGCTCTTCTTCAACCCGAGCTCCTTCATCTTCGACCTAACTTTCCGAGCCTCGTCCCATTTCTTCCCGGTCGCATACATCTTCTCGAGACACACATAAATCGACATATCATCCGAGCCCTTCTCAACAAGAATGCTCGCAATTTTCTCCCCTAAAAGAAGATCCCCGCGCAAATGGCACGCTGCAAATAGCGTGCTCAGCAAGTCATCATCCTCTTTGATCAGAGAATTTTTCTCGAGAATCTCGTAAGCCTCGTGCAATCTCCCGGCACGGCAAAAGAGGTCCACGAGGCACGAGTACTCGGCAGTCGTGGGACGGATTTTATACTCATCCACCATTAGATTAAAATAACTCCGACCCTTTTCGACTAATCCCGCATGGCTGCAAGCTGAGATCACGGCTAGGAAAGTGACTCTGTCCGGTTTCAAATTCGCGCGTAGCATCTCGTCGAAAGTCTTCATAGCCTCGGACACCTGTCCGTGGGACCCATGCGCCACGATCATCGAAGTCCACGAGACCAAATCTTTTTTCGGAAGTTGATTGAATACGAGCACAGCTTCATTTACGGCCCCACATTTGGCGTACATATCGAGAAGGGCTCCCATTACCACTTCGTTCGAGTTTAACCGATTTTCGTTAATGTGCGTGTGGAATTCTTTGCCTTTTTCTAAAGCGGCCAATTGCGAACAAGCCGAGAGGAGAGTGGTGAGGGTAATTGCGTCCGGTTTTACGCCTTCTACTCTCATCTGATCGTATGTTTCAAGTGCTTCAAGGTAGGTACCCGAAGATACATAGCCCGAGATCATAACATTCCAAACGACTATTTCTGATTTCGGCATCAAATTGAAAACTTTCTCAGCTGTTGCAACACAACCACACTTGAAGTAAAAGTCGAGTAAAGAGCTCTCGACAAAGACATCACCGAATAAGTTATTTCTTATGGCATAACCGTGAACAAATCTTCCATGCAGCAATTGAGCAGATTTCGCGCAAGCCACTAAGATGGTGCTAACAGTAGTCAAGCTGGGTCTGACTTTCGCTCGGTTCATTCTTGCTAAAAGACGAATGCACGAGGCGCTATCTCCAGCCTGGCTGTGACCACCGATCATCGAGTTCCAACAAACCAAGCTTCTATCACTAATTTTGTCGAAAATCTCCTTAGCTCTGTCCAAGCATCCGCATTTTCCGTACATGTCGATGAGAGTGGAGCTCACGTAAGCATCCATTACAAGCCCGCTACTCAAAACCTCCTCGTGAATTTTCCTTCCTTTTTCCAAATCCGATAACCTGCTGCAAGCAGAAATCGCGGTTGTAAACGATACTGAGTCGGGCCTCAAACCCGTTCGCTTCATCCTCTCGAAATATTCCAAAGCCTTCTCCCACTGCCCACTTTGGTAATAACACGAAATCACGTTATTCCAACAGGGTAAATCTCTGTACGGCATTTCATCGAACAGCTTCACGGCGGAACTAAATACGCTGCATTTCGCGTAGAGACTGGTTAACGAGCTGGCGACAACAACGTCCGATAAAGACCCGGTTTTTATCAAATGGGTATGGACCCTTTCACCGTAATCCACTCTCTTCAACCCGCCGCAAGCTTTCAGTAAGCTCGGGTACGTGTAGCTATCGGGTCTCAGATGAGGGTTCTGTAAGAGGGTTTCGAACAGAGAAAATACCTCAGAAAACATGGAATTCTTCGCGTAGGCCGACATTAATCCGTTCCATAGCGTTATGTCCGATGGGCTTTCGATATTCTTGAAAATTGATTCCGCGGATTGATGGGCGCCGATCGAGACGTATAGATTTATGAGGTTTTTGCATAGGGATGTGTTGTTCTGTAGGCCGAGAGAGATGGTTTTCTGATGGAGTATCTGAATTTGCTTCAGGGACTTTGTCGTGTTGCTCAAGGTCTTTGAGAGATGAAATACTTTTGCAGTAATGGCATCCATACAGACAGAACAAGTTCCGATAGGAGGGAAAGAGGGAAACACTGAAATTTATCATATTTCTTGTCTCATTGTGATAAAAATAGTTTGGGTGTAATAATTGTTTATGAACTTTCAATAATCACAATTTATATTTTATTAAATTTTAATTCAACACTACTATCTTTAATATTATGAATATAATTAAAATAATACTTCATTCTTACCTATGATATCCCCCAAGAGCTGATTCGATAGCGGGTGTAACAGAATCTTAGTGAAGCAAAAAAGAAGGTGTTGTGGGCGACTAAAAGGACAAGAAAGATGCCCCGTCTGTGAACTTTCTAATTAAAACAAACATCTACACCGGAAATATAATTAAAATAATATCAATCAATCATTCGTACACATCACATCAAATTTAATTTATTATTCATCTACTCATATAATTTAACAAATCATCACTTCTATTCATTTTTCTTCTACTTTTACATCAAATCAATTTTAATTATTTTATTTTAAATAATATTTTAAACTAAACTTAAATATCCACGAACAACTAATCATACCACGTTTTTAAAAATTAACTATAATTAACGAAAACAATCAAACACTAGTTCAATTCCTATCCAATCTCACCTTATATATTCTAGGGACAACAATGAAATTATATTATTTAAATTTTTTTTTTTTTTTCAAATGCATAGGTTTTAGAAGAGATAAATAATTACATTTATACAACAACTATTAGTAGTCAATCAGTCACACAACTAAATCTAGTAAGAGGACTATACACGGTAGTCTAAATCAACTACACTAATTCACCCACATTAAGACAAATTATATAACTTTCACAGGTGGAGTATAACGACTTCTAAATAGAATAATAAAACAACAATAACAACATAAAATAAAAACTTAAAATACAACCACAACTAGGGCTGGTATCGGTTCGGTAACCGAACCGATAAGCCCAAACCGATACCGAACCGACATTTTCGGTAACAATAAAATGTGAAACCGAAACCGAACCGATTGTAGTCGGTAACCAAATTTTCGGTTACCGAAAACTCGGTTCGGTTTTGATTTTGTACCAAAAAACCGAAATATCAGCCCCAAGTAAGTACAAATACTTGATGTCATGTTCATTGTGTTCCATGTTCCCTGTATATTCACTGTAAGCAAATAAGCAAGCCTCATGGCCCAACAAGTTGCACTTCAATGAAGATATTTGAGTATTGAGTGCGGAATTTTGATTTTAAACTTACTTTCATTTTTTTTTTTTTTAACAAAATTGTGTCCTAACTATTATTTAAAAACTGAGCCCTAATTATATTCTTCTCCTTTATTTTTTATTTATTATATTAGACTATGTTTTATTTTTAGTTTTGGGGAAATTGAACCTATTTTCTTGGAATTGTGCGTGTTATTTTGACTGAATAATTTAGATTTGCCTTATTTGGATTGATCACCTAAATTATACTTTTCATCTCTACAGCTAGAATTAGACCTTCAATCCGTAATTTTGTGTTGTGTTTAATTCATAAGAAGCAACCGGAAGCTGGTAACTACCGGGGATAACACGACCTATTTAATTGAACCACGCGAATTCACTACTTAGATTAGCTTATTTTTAGATTATAAAACGGCTAAATTTTTGTATTAAATCTAGAGTGTGTCCTAGACCATACAAGAAGTCATGTTTAAACGTAGAGCGTCTGTTAAATTAAAAGTAATTCCATAAGATAACGAGATTTGATATCGAAAATGATTAGATGAGTCGGTCAAGGGTGTAGACGGAACCGTGAACTAGAAATTTCTCTTAATTTATTTTATTTTATTTGTTTGTTTCATTAGAGCTTTAATTAGTTTCATCATTAAATCAAAATTCCTTATCTTTTATTGCTTTCTTAATATCAAGTAATACGAAAAAATTCACAATTCAGTTCACTCTTCGTAGGATCAACCCTTGCTCGCCACTACTAGTAGTTAGTAGAGATTAGTCAAGGAAAAATATAAATTAAATTTGTCGCGTTGCGACGTGCAGTCAAATTCTCTAGACCCTCTCTACAAACCTGACACATGCAACCATTCGCGGCAAGATCCTATACAAGGGATGGACAACGAAACCTCGAGGGATGAGCCACACAGTGTTGAAGATGGTCGGCGCCAAGGCGGCACGGATTGCCCGACAAATTGGAAGCGGACAGAGAGAATGCGCTGAGGGATTAAGTTTAAATTGGGGTTTTTACCTAAGAGAGACATTGACAATTTTGGTTAAATTAAAAATTATTCAGCTAATTTTGCTAAAACAAGTTATTTTGCTCATATAGCAATCAACTAATTGAACAATCAAACCCACGTCAGCCTTTTAAACATGGTTTTTCAACCCAAACAGGCGGACAAGTCAACCTGTGACTTAGTCAAAACGGAATCGATGCTTAGGACCATGGGCACTGCAAGTGCCACAAACACGGATGCATCATCCGTGCAAGTCACGTGCGCCGCCCCAACCTCAACCTACAACCCTCCATGGCTACCGTTGGCGATATCATGAACCCTAGGTATAGGAGGTGGGCCTACGACACAAACCCAAATGTTGACCCGAGGTCTGACCCCGAAGCCAAACCCTGGTAGAAGCTGCCGTTAGGGCTCGCCAGTGGCGTAGGATCCATCGTGACGTTGATGCTCAACTTCCCGCCGGCCCTTGCATCCATGATTAATGAATGGAGGGGCAATTTCCATAAATTCAATTAGATTTGAAGGGTAAAATAAGGAATTTATAAGAAGAATCTTGTTAATTAGTTTCCCTATGACAATACGAACATTAAGTGAATATGACATGAAATTAGCCCAAGTGTTATTTTCACCTTTTTTACAAATTTTTTATTTATTTTATTTTTTATTTTGCAATTTTATTCAGTTGTGTGTGTCTACTTAACAATGAGAGTGTCACATCACGTCGAAAAATCGTAAGTGATTTAACGGGACGAAACATCACGCCATGTCACGTTTTATCCTGGGTGCGGATAATAAGAGTATAAAATTAATTAAATTACTAAATTATTGAATCCAGTTTAAAAATAACCGAGATATAAATTTCTCCATTTTGGCCAAATTATAAAATCAATATTGATGTTTCTTCTTTTCGGTACAGTCAATATTGAATTTTTAGCCTTGTTTGAAATATATAGAATAAATAGAATCTTTTATTTTTCTCACCATCCTTAAAAAAAACAAATGATACATAGATACGGGATGGAGTTGTGCATGCATGTCATTTTAATTATTTTAATATTTCTTTTATTTGAAATATATAGAATAAATCCAACAAAAAGAAAAAAAAAAATAATAATAAATAAAAATCCACTACCTCTATCCAATTTAATCTTCCATTCATCATTATAATTTTTACCAACCAATCACCATGAATTATATGCCAATTTCCTAAGGACAAAAATACACGTCCCCAACCCAAACATTTCTCCTTAAAAACATGATTAAACTCTTAATTACTTAAACTAATTAATAAGCTGAAAACAGTAATTAACCTTAACCCAGCAGACGCTTCTGGTCGGAATTACCTTCGGCGTTCAAAGCCCGGCCGATCTCAGACGAAACGTACGCATCAACGCACGCGTACTGCACCTGAGCGTCCGACAGCCACCGGCACTCCCAATTGCTCATCGTCACGTGCCTCGGCTTGTCGATCTCCTTCCCCAGCACTAAGCTCGACAGCTCCCTCAGCGACGCCGCCTCTAGCTCCTCCCGGCCGAGCTCCTCCGCCGCCAGTTTCCGCAGGTCGACGGCCCGCGCCCGCCCCCCGATCCCGTAGTCGGCGTCTAGCCGGTCGAGGTCCTG